AGCGTGGGCATGGCTGTCTGTTCACAGACTCTCTACTGACCTAAATACTGAGGAACAGCAGCTATAGGTGACAGGGATTACAGAAAACTTAGAAGGCTTGATTCTTTGTTAGCCCTCCTCCCCATCTAGTCACAGTGTGTGATTTCAGATATACATACTAATAGTCCACATCCAGCCAAAAGATTTGTGATTCAAAATTGCAACTGGAAAAATGGGGACCCTCTCTAAAATCTTCAGTTAAATATTTGATTTATTTCCCGAACCTGAAATGTGAATCCTCAAAACAGTATATCAATTGACTAGCATCCTTTCCATTATAGGTTACAGGGCGGTTCTTTTCCCAATGTGCTTTTAAGGTACTAGAGAGCTGAGCTTTTTGTGTGGGAGGCTGATCCAAAGGCCATTAACCTCTGTCAGCTTTGGATCAGGCCTTTGATCACCTATCAACTCCGGCCTCTCTCTCAGTCTCTTTTTTAACAAATTGAACAAGATAAAATTAAACCATACTAGGGAGGGGTGTGTGTGTGCGTGTGTGTGTGTGCGTGTGTGTGTGTGAGAGAGAGAGAGAAGAGAGAAACATAGTAGGTAAAAAAATTTGGAAAAGTAATTGGCCTAAGAACAGAAACGGCTAAAACTGTAGTCTTAAGTATTTATTGTATCCTTATTCATATCAACCCTCACCAAAGCCATTTAAATTTCTTGGACTCCAATGAGAGTTTTGTCTAGGTAAAGACTTCAGAATTTGACCCAAGATAACTATGCTGTTTTAGAAGAAAATCCATTAGCATAAGTTAATTTAGGTGATTTAAGTGGAATCAGTCTGATTATCAGGTCCAGAGCACTAAACCAGTGAAATTAAGCAGAAAGTCAGTAGAAGTCAGTGAGAGATCAAAATCAGGCTATCAAGTTGCAACATTGCTAAAGTATGGAGGTATGTAAAATCATCATAAATTAGTTTTAGAATATATTCTCTGTTACTCAACTTTCACTCCTTGGGATTTAAATTCTGAATGTAGAATCTGTGATAAGCATCTCCCAAACTCTTCCAAGATCGTTTGTTCAGCTACACAAATTGAATAAGCTTCTTTTTCTGCCTCTTCAGCTTGTGCCAGGAGACAGGCACATGTTGCCTCAATAATATCCCAGGATATACATGCAGTAGTCTGGCTGTAAGGAAAACAAACTTAAAGTATTTGACATTTACATAAAAAAAATGAAAAGTTATTTTGTTGTATGCAATTGTCTTCTAATCTTACTAAGATGAAGATTACATAGTACTATCTAGTAAAATAAAAAATAAAAACCAAAACAAACAAACAACGGGAAAAAAGCCACATGAGGTAATGGCAGGTGCAGCAAAAAAACTGTGTCTTGCAGACTGGAAGCTTTTGGACCCAGTGCAAAGATCACTGAAATTGATAATGAAACTCCTGATTTCAGTGGATTTGGGATCATGGTTCATATTTATTGCATTTATTAGGAACCAACCAACACCAGGGTCCCATTGTTCCAGTCACTGGACAAATATAAAATATCAAAATCTTCCAGTCTAAAAGTCCAAGGGAGACAAACGATGGAGAGAAAGGGTTATAAGTTATTATAACTGTGGTGGGGCACCATAGGTGCCTGCCAGTTTAAGGGCCTGAGCCAAGCTGCCAGCAGGTGCCTGATTGCAGTAGCCATTTTAGATCCCTGGCTGCCTTTATAATGAGATCAGTTCCCTGCTGGCAGGGGAGGCAGCAACACTGCCTGGCTGCAAGGCCACTGGTATCATCCTGGAGGTAGGGGCAGGAGCTGTAGGGGATAGTAAAGAGGCTCCTGGTCCTGGGCGTGACCGAAAAGTGTACCCTACTGGGAGTGGGTGGCCTGGTGGGGCTCTCAGTGGTGTGGGAGTCCCCAGGAAATGCCAGACCAATGACCATCCCGGTGAAAGGTGAGTAGGGGCATGTTAACCCCAGCCCTCCTTCGGGTGCATTGAGAATAAAATCAGTAGCCAAGCACAATGACCTGTTGCTCCAGGTGGGGAGTGAGAGTCCCCGTGAGACCCTGGAGCACCAGTTGTGGTGTGTGCGAAGGGTAACATCAAAGAAGGAGTATAGACCAGGTGAGCTTCTGGAAGCACCTGAGCCAGCTGGGGAGAGACCCCACAGGGCCAGGCATGCTCCCAGGAGCACATGAGCCGGGAATGGGGAACCTCACTCCAGAAGTGCAGGCAGGAGGTGAAGACCCCATTGAGGGACTCGACTGGTCAATGCTCGGGCCAGGACCTAAGGGTCAAAAGGGCCAGGGGCCCACCATGAGGGATGGCCACAATGAGCACAGAAGCTCGGCGTCCTGACTGGGCCTGAGACGGGGCCAGGGCTTATGGAAGCTGAAGGTCCCCATGGTTGGGGACCACAGCTAATGGGCAAGGGTGACGGTTTAGCTAACTGCCTGAGATGCTGTCTGCGAGGCTTGGGCTGTGGTGTAGAGGTGGAACAGAGCCATGGACAGCCCCCCCCTAATATCGGGATACAAAAATGGGCAGCCTCCCACCTTAATTAACAACTTCATTAATTGCCAACAAGGCATGGTGGGCGAGACAGGTGGGCAGCGTGCCCAGAGGCAGGTAGGAAGCTAGCTGCAGCAAGCAAGGGATGCCCACCTCGCCACAATAACATACAAGTAGGATGAACAATGTGGTGACCAACAACTGTTGTCTTGCTGCCACCACCTTTTTTAAAATTCTTTTCTAATTCTTTGGCCAGCATAATATTAGAAAGGGATTGGCTAAATGAAAAAAAAGTGAAAGAAAGAAAAGGGGGCACTGGAAGAAGTAGTTAAGCAAGATAGTACAACGAGGACAAGTGCAAAGTGCTGCGCCAAGGGCGCAGACATATCCAGCACACCTACTGGCTGGGAAGTGACACTCTCAGCAGCACAGAACCAGAAAGGGATCTTGGAGTCCTAGTGGACTCTGAGAGGAACATGAGTCGTCAGTATGACAAAATTATCAGCAAAGCTAACCACACTTTATCATGCATCAGCAGATGCATGACAAATAGAACCAAGAAGGTGATACCTGCCCTGTATATGGAATTGGTCAGGCTGCAGTTGGAGTACTGTATCCAGTTTTGGGCTCCATACTTCAAGAAGGATGTTGATAGACTCGAGAGGGTCCTGAGGAAGGCCACTCATATTGTCAGGAGCTTACAGGACAAGCCCTATGAGGAAAGACGGAGGGACCTGGACCTCTTCAGGCTCTGCAAGAGAAGGCTGAGAGGTGATCTTGTGGCTGTCTACAAATTCATTAGGGGGATGCAACAAGTGATCAGAGATGCTCTGTTCAGTAGGGCGCCTCTTGGAGTAACAAGAAACAATGGTCACAAACTGACAGAGAGCAGATTTAGGCTAGATATCAGGAAAAACTTCTTCACAGTAAGGGTGGCCAAAATTTGGAATGGGCTTCCAAGGGAGGTGGTGCTCTTCCCTACTTTGGGGGTTTTTAAGAGAAGGCTGCATAGACATCTGGCTGGGGTCATCTG